TTGAGAAACAGTTAGGTGTATCTGAGGTCGTAAAAAATCGTACTTGCTCATTAAAAATTTATGGAGCTTTTGAAACAAAGGCAAAATCTCTAACTACTGAGTTCAGGAGAAGAAAATAACGGGTACATCACTTCAAGAGGTATAAACCTCCGAGTTTCTGTGTTCCTGGGCTGAAATTACCAAGAAACCAGGATGACAATGCTTCGAGCGAAACTGTCCTACGAAACACCCCATATTCTTGTGACAGTCAAAGCCTCTTCATTTACGATCCCGATTGCTATTCCTACATCTCGTCTGGATAAGCGGTCACATCGTACAAACAGTGTGAGAAGAGATATCCTTGTGAACAGGAAACAGTAGAGTGATAGTGGTGTTAAGCCAAGTCTCCATGTTTTTCGTGCGATTATTATCAGAGTAGGTGTGCCGTTTAAAAATAATGCAAGGGCGTTAGTTCTCTACATGGCCCTGACATTGTGGGCAACTGACAAGATAGCTTTTGGAAAGCTGGCATTCCCCTAGAACAATTAAACTGGACTCTTAAATTATTTTGCGTTTCCACCACGGCGAAGAGTGTGCCTGGAGTCTTTGATTTTTTTTTGTACCAAAAGAATGCGTAGGTGATTGCGAAGAATGTGAATTGGACGAGATATGAGCATCTGTTCGACCAATCCCAGGATCTTTTAATTGTTGCTCTGCCAGTGCTAGAGAACTCTCACAGAGATGCCTTTCTCGTGAAAGAATCTCAATTCAGGTGCTCTCATAGGGAGAAAATACGATAAGAACGGTGAAGAAAATATTACTCTCAGAGGGAAGCGTTACCAGGTACATAATGGCCCATCCTAATACAGTTACCTCGAATCGGCTGACAATATATCGAACGAAAATTGTCAATGCGACGAACACAGCTTAAGAAACTCTAATCGTAAGAAACTCCAACGGATAAAATATTAGGGAACACTTCTGTACGGGCACACGATCAGCATTACAGCGAGCACCGATCACAGAGCGCCTACGTTCAGTGTCACCGCATGCCATAGCGGAAGAAAAGTCCCACTGTCATTCGACTGCGAAGACTTATCAGAAAGAGACTGCTCCATAATGGTCATTTGGGAATTCAACAGAGTTGCTATTTTGTTTTGTGAAGTGTTCCTTCTGAACTTCCTTGTTTCTCGCAGTATTATCTGTTTGGTTTCAGCGGGTGCCTCGGGAAATTGTCAAATTCATTCTTCATCTCGAAAATGTATCCAGTGGCAGTCTTCAAGTGGTGTGGTATTGTAGATGGTAAAGGTTCGCGATTAAATCCACAGCACGTCTAAGGTGGTCGCAAACTGTGGGCTATTAATGTCAAGACGGTGTCATCACCCATTACGAATCTGAAGTGGACGGGCGTTTGTAGCCAATGGTATCAGGGCACGCCATCGCGTTGTGATTAATTCCTGCTGAATACGACCCCCCCTCTGAAAAGGGTCTCGATACGACCCCCCTTGTCCGCTGCTAATCTGGTAGCAGCGGACCAGATCAGCAGCGGACAAACAAACACCGAAAAATGGAAGATCTGCGAAAATAAACGACAAAAAAGACGCGACGTTAATCAAGGATAAATATGAGAAACACGATGAAAATGAGCCATAATAAATCATAAATAAGTTCACAAAAGTAATGAATTATAAATGAGCATCAAAAGACACAAGAAAGAAAAGGCGGGAAAATGCAAGTGCCAGCACTTGAATATTAGTTCGTTCGCGGCCATTTAAAGGTGAGCGCGTTCACGCTGTGGTATTTGAGCGAGCTACTAATTGGTTCGGCTGCAGTCTCAAGCCAAGCACTCTCAAAGTACCCAGAGCTCGAACATCCATAGCTTCTTTGAGAGTGGAGCTTTCGAGGAAGGGAAAACAGCTCAGTGGAGCACTAGGTCGACACTTATTACCTGAGTTCAAGCAATTTAAAAACCTCTTCTCAAGGAGTTCTCTTTGTTGTGATCCCGTGCGATTGTTGGGGGTTACCCTTTGGACTGCCATAACAATCTTCATGCAAGGCCATTTGTAAAACAAAAAGCAGTGACGGAACTTCGAAGGTTTCTACTTTCTAGCAAAACTTTCATTTCACCCCTATGCCTATGCCTGCTATTCAAAAAATTCCCATTGTGATTTGAACGCAACCCCTTCCAAACGACACGAAAAACCCACCCCTCCGATGCCATACGCCGATTGGCATCACCTCTGTGATGCGCCATGCATAGGGCTCTCACGCAGAGGTATTGGGAAGGTGCAACTTCTAGGGCTTCCTCCGTGCAAGTAGATGTGTTCTTGCTATCAGGAAAGTCCACAATCGATTCATCAGTCTGTTGAGGGCGGCCATCGCATTTCCTGTCATCGCCCGTTCCCCACTTACAGGGGGGGGGGGCAAAAAAAGTCACTTTCTGACGCGAGCACATATGCAGCAAGAGTTTTTGCAGCCAGAGAGAAGATTGGATACGAAGACCTTCTAATTCATGTTATTCCAAACAGCTGCGAAACTTCTAGTGTGGACTCACCATGGGTAGCTACCTGGAGACTAGTACCCTCAATCTGGAAGACTTCCAACATCGAGCAGCTCCGACAAACGTCGCTCATCGGTCGAGGACATCGATCTCACCGCAGTCGTTCAAGGGAGCGGGTTGATGTTTATGGACTGGAGGTTACCTGGGATGGAAAAAACAATATTCCTTTCTTGAGACCCAGGACTGAAGGTGAGCGTCTAGGCGCGTTGCATCTTGAGCAACTTCGAGAAGAATGATGCCTCTCACATGTCGGTTCGCCCCTACCTCTTGGAAACTTTGTACTGCTACAGCACTGGGTGCCACACATGTGGAATCGAAGGGGTTGGAGAAACTCTCGCCTACTTGGAATGGAAGGGGGCTGAGTACCTAAAGAAGATGGAATATCCAAGTAGGTCACCTGACCTGAATCCCCTCAGTTACCCGTTCGGGCGGAGTTCAATAGGGTGGTCTACGGTGGCGGAGAAATCGACTATCTCGCTGATCTCAGGCACCACATCGCGGTCGCGTGCCAGAATCTCTCGATGGCGCTCGTCCAGAAGGCTGTGGCGGAGTTTTATAATAGTATTTGAGATGCCCTTTGATATGGTGGTAGAAATCGTCCGATTAGAATTTACAAGTGTAACTTATAGAGCCACGAAAGTCATGAAGAAAAGTACTTACTTTTATCTTTAACTTCCTGTCGCGGGCAGGTTGGCTTCTGCCTTGTTTGTGTCTCTTCAGGGGTTCTTCACAAGAATATGTCTTTCATCATTGAAGCAGAACGACATCTCGCTGCACCCTCACTTCAGAAAGAGCCTTGCGCTTACGACTCCCCTCCCTCGAGGTCAAATACGACCCCCTCCCCCTGTCGTGACCATCACAACGACGCGTGCCCTGAACGGTGTGTCCATTATATACAATAGAAAAGGAACACTATATACCTGGTTTGGCTGCTTGAAATATCAGGATCGTATGTAAGTAACAAATATCATTGAAGCCCTCCGAAAGAATATGGGGACGATGTCAGAAGGAAGGCAAAAACCGACCGCGCAGCGTGCCGGCGTGACGACATATAATATTCGTTTGCGGAAGTTTCAGACCATATCGTACAAGAATCACTTCCGTGATGGTTACTCTGTTAATATTTCAGGTTATAAAGTTCCCCATCGTCCCCATAAAAATCACTTCTAGGATACATGGACTATTAAAATACTTATTTGATGAGGTTTATCGCCATTCTGAATAAAAACCAGATCAGTAATGCAACAGCAAATGATTAACCGATGGAAGCCTAGTAGCAAGGTGTTCGTCAATCATGCTACGTTTATCACTTAATAACAACGGGGATTACAGTAACAACCATCCACTTGGACTCTGTATCTCCCCTGTCGTCCAAATCCCACACCAGCGCCCACTCATACTATCCCTTCGTAACAACATCAGTATTGTAACAGCTTCATAACACGATTTATTCTACAAATTCACACGTACGTGGGCAATGAAAATGAAATCAATATCATGGGAACTTCGTTTGTGTTGTGAAAAGATATTTGAACACGATATGAAGGTTTGCACATTTATACATAAAGCCGTGCACCATTTTTTTGATCACAGAAAATCCATTATAAAACAAACCAATAAGGAAGGGAGACTAGGTCACCAACATGTCGCCATGCAAATACATTGCTGGGAAACATGGAGTTGTGTGAAAAAAGAGGTCAAATCCAATCGTGAAAAAGACTCAGCATTCACTTCTCTTAGGAACTAGCGCAGAAGAACTGACATGCATCAACATCCACTCGCAAATCACCCATTCGGATGCGGCCCCCAATCTCTCAGTAAAGAAATTCCTCTATAGATTAAAGGTATTCAAAAAAAATTTCATTACAGTTACGTTTTATTGACTCCCGTACTGAGTTTACAAGAGAATGGTCAGTAACCAACGAACATTTTGAGAGCGAGAACAGGCTCATCTTTCACGGAGTAGCCAGCAAGAAATAGTTGGAAAGGTGCTATTGGGCGCTGTTTGTCGACGGGGGGGGGGCATTTTGTACTACCATTGCTTCCCTAGTTCCGGTTTACAAATCTCACCCTGGTAAAACTTGTGAACCCTTGTGAAGCTGGTGCAAGATAGTCTAGCCACCATCCTAAAACGTGTCAACTCGAGAAAAGGCTACCTAGATGGGTCGGCACATCTATGGAAAGCAGAATGCCCCCCCCCCGTCGACAAACTGCGCCGTGCTATTGTACCAGCTTTTTTCATGTGTCAGTTGCGCGGGCATGCTTTTGGGTTCAGGAAGACTTTTGGGCTCAAGACCTTCTAGTTAGTAACCAAACCGTGACATTCAATTTCATCGAATTTGTGGTGTAATTGGGACACGAAGGCTTTCGGTCCCAAATGTACCCGAAACTGGTGGGAGGAAAAAACCATAAAGTATTTTCTACGTCTTAGAAACAATACGGAACTATACACATCATCAAATTATAATGAATCGCCTTTATAGGCGGAATTATCTGCACCCAACATTGAATCGCCCGTATCACCCGAAACAGTTTTCCGTCTGGTGACATCATCTGCCTCCAAATCCTTCTCTGAATTGTCATCACTCCATGCGGTCACGTCATCGACTGGAAGGCTGTCGATCGATAACATTGATGTGCTCAACGTCTTCTTCATTGGCTCGATCGATATCAGTTCCGATTCGGGGATCACGATGACGTCCGGCTAAAATTTGGTGTTCTCATGGGGCAAATACCTGGTTCCTCTTTGGATATATCATTACTTAATACAAAACCTTTTGATCTCCATACTGTACATTATAGTAGTCTTTCTGGGCGTCCAGAGTTAGGTAACTGTATTCTTCCGTAATTTCCTCCAATAGAGAGGCCAACTTCTGCCGAATCACTGAGAAATCCGGCCGTAACCGCGGATCTACAGTCCAACACTCGCACATTACCTCGTAGCTAAATGATGACAGATCACATAAAAGGGAAAAAGACAAGGAACAAGTCGCTCCGAAGCGGAGCCCAAAAAAGCTTCCGCTTTCCAGTAGTTTCCGAGAATTGGAAAATCGTTCGTGGATCGAGGAGAACTTGGCTTACAAGACTCCCCGGCCATTTAGGAGTAACTTCCTAGGTATGCGGAGTGATGGCGGAAGCGGTATGCTCCAAAGTTGTTTTTTTTTCAAGTCTCCCCCCCCCCCGGAAGTTTCCCACCATGCGCACACCACATCTGCAGGAGTTGCACGGGGGGTGAAAACAAAACTGAAATACTAATGTCAATGAAATGATGACTCACAAGTTTTCAGGGCAATTATCAGGACGCTCCATTCGGCCACCATTCTCCAAAAATGGTAGCATTTCTTCAGGAGAGACGGAGGGGTAAGGTGAACCTCCAAGTGTAATAATTTCGAAGAGAAGCACACCGAAGGCCCATCTGGAAAATGTTACGAGGTTTCAACACGGAGCATCTACTTGTAGGCGAAGAAAGAGCAGAAAAGTTATTCAACGTGTGAAAGACGCAGAAGCGGAAAAATTCAATAGAAAAAGAAAAAGTAGGGTGTGGGTCAGGACATTCGAGCTGCGGTGACACAGAAGCCAGCCCATCTTGTGCAATTCCCTGGCGACCTTATCCCACTTACTGTAACAATCGCTCGTCAAATCAGTTACGTGCTGGTGCAGGTCGCGCAAGGACGCCATCTATCACGTACCTTTCGTCGAGCAACCCCAGCTCGGATCTCCTGATCTCACTTAACTTAAAGGCAATGGGCATGTCAGCTGGGGGCAGGCGGTACTTCCAATGGCATTGGTGAAGGTTTGCGAGAGGACATTCAGCCACACCCATTTAGCCCTCAAACCAGTTACGTTGACAGTAACCACCCGCCCTCAGCCATGGTGCCGACTGCCTCCAAGTCACAACTACGGTACTCCGTAGTACTGAAAGGTGAGAACAGTGAAAGGGGGAAACAGAAGAACCCTCGCTCATGCATGAACCGTCTGGACGACGGATAGATACTGCGAAAGCATGGTGTTCTCTCAAAGCACTTGTTGGTTGATTCGATATGCCAAGGGATTTTATAAAAAAAACCATGGAAATAGCACTCACACATCGCTTTGTGCTGAAAATTCGTAATGCCGAATTGCCTCCGGTGACATCCACTTCAACGGCAGACGTCCACCCTGATATTCAAAAGAAATTCCATGATGAATTATTATGTCACATGAAGTAAAATAGAATAGAAGAGAAGTTAGTCTTATAAGAACTCTCCGAATCTATACCTTGCTTTTGTAGAGTGAATTGTCTGCGTACAAGTTTCGACAGAGACCAAAATCGCCAATTTTACAAGCGTTTTTCCCGTGAACAAGGACATTACGTGCAGCCACATCTCGATGAACGAAGCCCTTTGATGACAAGTATTCCTGAAACATCCCATTAAAACACGATCATTCTGTATTTTTCAGCAGCACATTCTGGAAGGTTTCCGAATCTAAGACAGTTCTAGGAACTGGGTGGAAGGTTTCCTATCTATCGCAAAGCCTCTAATGACGTGGGGTGAGGATTGTGCTGTTTTAATCACAAATATTCGCACGCAAGTCACAATCGACAGCAGAAAAAGTGTTCCAATCAAAGACTGTCCGCGCACTTACCGACGTGGATCCTGGTCCCTGTCATACGTGGTGAATGGCACGGCAGCCCAGAGCGTCCCACTTTCTCTGGTCAGAAGTGCGCGGACTAGGGACACCAGGGTGCCGTCCCCATACCCCTCCCGCACTACCAGCCGCACGGCCAGCCGCACGCGTAACCATGGCTTAACGCGATGCTTGACCACGCCCACTCAAAGCTAGTTACTCTGCCGCTAGGTGTGTATTTCGCTGCGGGATCTTGTTGTCGCTGCGGAACCAAGGCGCGAAAGGCAGCGTTCATTAGTTCGTGAAACGAGCAGCGGCGATCGCCGCGGCGACTCGCCAGTAGGAGACGTCGTCGCGGCCCCATCACAACTAGGATGGACGGATTGCAAAAACTTGTTGAAAGGTATTTTCTATTCATATTTTTTTTCTTTCTTCCACCCAATAGTACTCTCAATGCTAGGGGCTATGTTGAATTAATAAGTTGGGGTTGCCAGTTAAATAATAGCCTGTAGATTGGAGGAATTCCAGCCCGGTTTTGGAATTTTCACCTTCTTTCTACTGTTAAAACTCGTTATTATACTTGTACTTGATATCGTTTAATTTTTTTCGTTGCAAGTTTTAGGTTTTTTGCTGAAAGTTTACAAGGTTTTGCAATCCGGTCCATCTGTTCTGTTGGGGCGAGCTGGACGATCGCCGCTGCTGTCGCGAACTATGAACGCTGCCTAAGAGCTACATAGTGCGGATAGAGTAGGGAGACGGCACGCGGGTTTTCACCAGCCTCCCCCGTTCCCGTGTCCTTTGGATCACAGAAAGTGGCACGCAACTGCAGCTGGGGAGCATTCTTGGCAAGGAACGTCCTCGTAGGTAAGTGCTCAGTTGTCTCAAGTTGTTTTCTGTAATACCTTTGCTTTTCCCCCCTAGCGACAAAATTTCCTCCCACAGATTCATATTTGAGCATTAATCATGTGCTTGACTTCTGATTTCAAATGCGCCCTCATCTCGTAACAACTGCTGAATGTGACGGCAACCAAACTTCCTAGTAGAGAATCATGGTCAGCGATACTGCTATCACAGGGGCCACCGCACAACCACGAACGTGTGCCATAAAGCGCAAACGCAGACTAAAAAGGCTAATCCACTTCTTCCACTCACCAGCCCGTAGCTGACTTGTACGGCGAACATGAGCAGTTGCTTCAAGGTGATCACCATGTCAATATCGTAACTGTTATCGATTGGTGGTTCGTGATAATTCACACCAGCTGCGTCAAGCTGAAACGTACCATGTAACCCAGGGCCTAGATCAACCGCCTAACCAGCGAACAGACCAACCTTCATCATGTATTTACATCGCTCACGTAGAAATCGCAGTAAGTCGCCGTCGCTACAGTATTCCACGATAAGGCAAAGTGGTTCAGATTCCGTTATGCATGCCAGCATATTGACTAATCTGGAAAGAAAAAGTCATTTACTCCGCTTGACTGCCGCTTCCATAGCTGACTTCATATTTCGTAGACTTTATTACGGCCCTTAGCAAGTGTGGGCTGCGTTTATACTTTGCGACGGGAAAAGATTGCTGAGTATTTGAGAGTGCAACCAAATGTTAGTACAACACCGATGATTCAGACAAGCAGATTTTCTTCAGTCGAAAGTTCCGGAAAATCGGAAATGAGTGATTCTGATAATGAATCCCACGAGAGGAGAAGTTAACATCAAAATTCCCCATTCATTTCGGTTTGCAGTTACTGGTTCTGTTGCACGCTAACATCGATATAAAATAAAAAGAAATAAACAATGAGACTGATTAATTAACCACTGCTACCTTTCATGGTATCCAAGTGTTTTCATCAGCCCAATTTCTCTCAAGAAATCACTTCTTGACATCTCGTCTGCGTACTCCGGCAGCATTTTCACGGCCACCTAAAGCAAAATAAGCCATCTGCTCACCTATTTTTGACACATTTCATAAAAGTATGCAAAATTCCATGAAGTATAAAATTCTATGGAATTAGCACGAAGTATAGACTGTAGTAAGTGTGGTGGTACAGGGCGACGGAAAAGAAGTCCACGATACGGTACAGTACAAAATAGATCGTGCACTCGTGACGACGTAATTACACATGTACGCTGGGTACTGCAATGCATGTGCCTCAAGTGAGGTGCCTTTTACGCCGCCTAGTTTGCCGCAATGTGGATGTTCTGACCGTCTTCCGTGGTCTGGAGGCGATGGCTCACCTGACAGTTTTCTGCTCTCATAAGATTTACTCCCAAAGGCGAAGTGGAATCCTTGTGTCCTAGCGACTTGCCAAGAAGCTTACCTGAAATTCGATCCGTAGAAAATAAAAGATAAAGGATAAAGTCTTCGCCGTTGATCAATCCCTTTGTGGGATGCGGCACGCATTCTACTTCCATTCAGAATCGT